TCTTACGGCCAAATTTGAGTTCCTTTTGTTGGTCTTTTTTTAAGATCTTGAGCTTTGAGGTCAGGTTATCTATGTAGGCCCTTTCTTCCTTCCTTAGGACTGCTTGCAATGCTATAAATTTTCCTCTTAACATGGCTTTAGCTGCACCCAAAAGGTTCTGGTAGCTCGTGTCTTCATTCTCATTTGTTTCCAGGTATCTTTTGATTTCGTCCTTGACTTCCTTCCTGATCCACTCATTGTTCAACATTGAGTTGTTTAATTCCAGGTATTTGATTTGGTTCTCCGTGTCTTTGTGTGATTCACCTCTATCTTCAGTGCATCGTGGTCTGAAAAGATTGTTGATACTATTTCTATCTTCCCGATTCTGTTGAGTATGTTTTTTGGCCTAGCATGTGGTCAATTTTGGAAAATGTTCTGTATGCACTGGAAAAGAATGTGTATTTTTTCTTTTGGGGGTGCAAAGTCCTGTATAGGTCTATTAGCCCTCTCTCTTCCTTCAAAGCCAGTGTTTCCTTGCTGAATTTTAATCTTGTTGATATGTCCAGAGCTGCTAAGGAGGTCTTGAAGTTTCCAACTATTATTGTGTTGCTAGAAATGTCCTCCTTAAAATCTATTAGCAGTTCTTTTAAGTATTGAGCTGGTCCCGCATTGGGTGTGTATATATTTAGGAGTGTGATTTCTTCCTACTGTAAATATCACTTCATTATTTAAAAATGGCCTTTGCTGACCCTTCTAATATTTTTTAACCTAAAATCTATGTTTTTAGATACTAGTATGGCCACGGTGGATTTTTGAGGGGAGTTGTTCGCTTGCAGGATTGTTTTCTTTGACTTTGAGTCTGTGTTTGCTCTGACTGTTCAAATTTGTTTCTTGTAGGCAGCAGAATGTTGGGTTCAGTTTCTGACTCTATTTTGCCACCTTGTGTCTCTTAATTAGTGCATTTAGGCCATTGACATTAGAGAGATTATTGTTACAGGGTTTTGTGTCATAATTATGTACAGGTTTATTGTGCTTGTAGTTTTTTTTTTTGTCTTACAGTAGCTCTTTCAGTCCTTCTTTTAAGTTTGATTTTGAGTCTATGAGTCACACACGCTCTCTACTTTTGGGCATTATAGTTTGCAATATTGATACTGAGAGGCTAACACGCATAGTCCTTTATCTTCTTTCAACACACATCTCCCATCCCGAACAATCCCTCCAACCATCATTGACTTAGTGATCCCTTCTATATTCCAGCTTCTTCTCCCCCAGCTCATAAGGCAGGATTCCAACTATGTAATAATATTACTGGCCCTCGTGACTTCCCGTTAATGGTCGATTTGCTTGCATGGGCGCCAGTAAAGTCTCCATTTGATCCTGTCGCGTGCTAGTGTAGCCCAATGGCTTCTGTTCATTCTAGACCACGAAGAGCCTCAAACCAATCGTTCACGATCTTGATGAAGAAGTCTGACCATCTGGTAGGTGGGTGGCCACGCGGTCTTTTGACATCCCGTGGAATCCAGTCAGTAACAGCTCTAGTCCAGCAGTCCTCTCTAAATCTCATTACGTGACCAGCCCATCTGATTTTTGATGCCTTGGCAAACGAGACAGTGTCCCTGATTCTTGATCGTCGACGGAGTTTGGAACTCCGGATTCTTTCTCTCATTTGAGTGAAACGTGATACTCCAAGCATAGCTCTTTCAATTCCAATAAAAACCAGTATGTTATTTTATATTCTACAAATTAGTTCAGTCCTTCTATGTCACTCTGGTCCCTGGAACATTGGGGTGAGGGACACATTGAGGGGTCACTGTTGAGTGAATGCTGGCGAGTGGGCACTGCAGAGTCGGGTGTTTGGGGGAAAAAATTTAATGGGGTGCTATAGCCCTTCTGCAGAGTTGTAGTATAACAGTGCTTTGTCCTTTCTCCCTGGCCATGGGGAGTTTAGGTTTATTGGGTTACACCCATCACAGTACTCTGCAGGCACTCCCATTCCTCGGTGTTTATCTGTAACCTCTTCTTTGTGCTCTGCTTCCCCCACTGGGGATGGCTGATGGCAATGGGCAGACAAATGAGGACAGGAGGGCAAGGCTGGTTGGCAATCAGTTGCAGTTTATTCCAATTTCGTCTCCCTTCTCCCAATTTTCCTCGATCCTTCTCTTCCCAATTCTCCTTGATTCTCCCCAATTCGCCTCGATTCCCCTCTAGGATTCTCATTTCTTTGCCTGCCTACTCTTAGAGCCTTAGTTATATCCCAAATCATGAGGGGTTGGGGAAACAATTATACATAGGTGTGGTCATACAATCAACAGATGTAAAGTCCTTCCTGTTAGGATCCAGACCACCCCTCAGTATTCAGAGAGACAAAGAATCCTGCATGAATGTAAAACGCACATCGAGATTTTATTTTACCAGCTAGCTAGGGCTGAGACATCCTGACTCAGGTCAGAGCTCGACGATAAACAATTCCAAAGGCAAAAGTAACTTACAGAGTCCAAAGCAGACCAACACATACACAAGCAAATTATCAAGAAAACAAACATTCACAATTAAGAAGACATTCCCAGTTCCCATACATCAAGAAAGCATCTTATCAGCTAGACACGAAAGCATGAAAGTATACATCTCAAGGGGGGAGATGGGGGCAACATACGTGCTCGGGCACATGTGCTCAGCCATGTGGGCACAAGCAGCACATGGGCTGGGCAGCATATGTGTGCCTTTCCTCTGTTCAAGGTGGCCTTTATAGAGTTTCTCCAACCTGCCCCCACTTGAGCTTCTACCTAGATAAAAGTCCGTTGCTAAGGCAGTTACCAGGGGCGTTGGGAATGGTGATGGTCTTCTTTGAAATTCCTTTCCTGGCCTTATGTTCCTGCAAAATCTTCTCTGGGTCTGTGGCTGTAAACTAGTTAAGGTAAAGGTAAGGTAAGGTAAAGGCCCTCCCGTTGATCGTCGATTTGCTCAAGCGGGCCCAGTAACGTCTCCATTGGAGACTTTGTTGTTACTGTGTCTGGCATATCGAATACTCTCAGTAGCTTGCCGGACTCTCCGAGAGGGGTGGAGGAATCGAACTCGGGTCGGCCATGTTGACCGCTTGTAAGGCAAACACAGTTAAATATTTATCCCTCTTGGCCAGAGCTGCGCCCTACAACTTTTACGACCAGAGTGAGAAGAGGTGAGCTAGCTGCTTCTCACATTCCCCTTTTCCTATGATCTCACTGAGGAATCTTCTGCTTCTCATATTCCCCCTTTTCTAGGATCATATTGAGAAATCTTCTGCTTCTCACCCTTCCCTCAAGGGAATTTTCTTCTAGGATAATTATCATTCAGCAAGATGACCCGCCTAAGGCTAAAAAACATATAGGGGGTGTTTTTCTCCTTTCCTTAGTCCAATAACCAGTTAAAAATTTATCTTAATTTTACTCCTTAATAATATTAATCATTTTGTATGAACACAGTAAGAGATACCTCAAGCTTATAGGGTGGCTCTCCTGGGGACAACTTCCCATAGATCCCCAACTACAGTGTTCATGCCAGATCAGTCTTTCCTAACCCTAGCAGGGTCCTAATCCAGTTGTTACATGACCATGCTCCTTTCTTATAGTTAAGTACTATGGCACTTAGCCTGGCTTGTTTTGATGCCGGGGTAGCTCACAGCTTGCCCTGGCTCCATTCTATCCCTCATCGGGACCCTACTTTGGGGGTGCTAGGACTTGTTATGTCCCAGGAAGGGAGTTTAGCTCGCACATTAACCAGACCAGATGCAAGGCTGTAAATGCAAAGCCTCTTTCTTGCTGGCTCGAGCTAGGGTCCAAGTCTCATCGAACAGTGGAGACTTGACAAGGATCCTGACTCTGAATTCTAAGCAATTTATATAGGGTTTAGTTATATAACAGCATTTTTATAGGAACTGGAAGTATTTCCAGTTCTGGTCCCAGTCCTGTCCAGTGATTCCAGGGATCAACAGTATGTTTCCAATTCTTGGGCCCTATCCAGTCCCATGACTCCACTCCCTAGGCCCTCTTCACTTGTCTGAGTGCCACTGCCCATGCCCCCTACTCTGATAGACTTTTGCCATCATTTTTTTTCATTTCATTTCATCATCCTGTTATTCGTCGATTGCCTCGAGCAGGCCCCAGTAACGTCTCTTTCATCCTAGCCCTGAGATTATATTCAGGGCTATTTAGGAGAATGAGACCCATCATTGTTACTGGTATTTGGCATATTTGGTACGCCACGGGGAGTTTGCCAGACTCTGCCCTGTGGGCAGGCTACATTCGATAGCCTGCAAGTTTGTCCAAATTTTGATAAGATGTTCCGCGGCCGCGGAACGCGAATGGGTGATATTGTTTTCTGAGAAGTCGGGACTCTTTGTTAGGGAAACCAACACTTAGGCCTGCTGATTTTCGGTCTTAAAGTAGAGCCTGTCATAGCTCCACTTCAGTTTCACAAACTAAGGGCAACTCAGGCTTAAATCGAGAAAACAGATGCCCAGGAGTGATTATTAGTCAGAGTCAATTCCCAAGTTAAAAAAGCATAGCGTTAACGTCTTCCTGAGTCTATACAACAAGGACATTGCTCTAACATAACTATCCAAAGGACATAAGAAGAAGAGAAAAGCAATATTACACTTACAAATACAAATCCAGTATCTTAGAAGAATCTGACTTTACCAGTCAATAGAGTTTGATATGGGGATAAAGGTGAGTGACCAGTTGGGGAAGCAGAGTACAAAGAAGAGGTTACAGACAAACACAGGAATGGGAGTGACTAGGGAATACTGTGATGGGTATAACCCAACAAACTTATATTCCCTGCAATCAGGGAGAAACAACAAAGCAATGTTATCCTAGACAGAGTAACTAAGCCTCTGGGGCTAGGATTGATGATTTCCAGATGATTGCAGGGGCTCCTCAGGGCCAGTGATCCTGCCTGTGGGGTGCAGGGGTGGGGCAAGCACTGCATACCACTGGGAACCTGCGGGAGCCTGGGGTCCGAATGCAGGAGAAGGGGTCACTTACCAGCTCTGGTGGACGCCCAGGACTGTAAGAGCTGTAAGAGCAGAGGCAGCAGCAGAGTCAGGCCCGGCAGGGTGGGGGACTGGGCCATGCCGGGGGTCCTAGCGGGCTGGAGCAGGGTGGCCAGAGGGGTCCCTTTGTCCTCGGAATCCTAACCACACCTCTTTAATTCCCTTTGAGCAGCAACACAGGCGGAGCAACTGCTGAGGTACCAGGTTCCGCATAGTTTACATACCCAATCTTCTTTTCCCACAGCTTCCTAATTGGCTTTGTGCCAGCGCACAGCTACATTAAAGACATGCGCACTAGCTTGGGATAAAATTTAAAAAACAGGCCTCTTTCTTTTTTTTTTTCAGGAAATTTTTTAATCTGTTTTAATATTTTGCATTATTTTTTTTAATCAGGGACTTCCTTTTTAAAAATTTTTAAAATTTATTTATTTTATTAATTTATTAATATATTATTTATTATTTTTAAATTAATTTATTTTATTTATTAACTTATTATTTATTAATTTATTTATTTTATTTATTTTAGGGCTGGAGTGATAGCACAGCGGTAGGGCGTTTGCCTTGCACGCAGTCAATATGGCCGACCCGAGTTCGATTCCTCCACCCCTCTCGGAGAGCCCCGCAAGCTACCGAGTATCTCGGCCCGCACAGCAGAGCCTGGCAAGCTACCCGTGATGTATTCAATATGCCAAACACAGTAACAACAAGTCTCACGATGGAGATGTTACTGGGCCCGCTCGAGCAAATTGATGAACAACAGGAGGACTGTGACCATGACCGTGAGTGTTATATTTATTTTAATTTATTTTTAATTTTTTTATTAGTGAATCACCATGGAGTACAGTCATACAAACTTACAAACTTTCGTGCTTGCATTTCAGTCAGTGCTCCTGTGTCGCTCCCAGTGAGTCTCCGACCATGAGGTGCTGGAGATTGGACCAGACTCAGCCTCAGTCCAGACAAGAGAGACTTACAAACTTTCGTGCTTGCATTTCAGTCATACAATGATCGAGTACCCATCCCTCTTCCAGTGCCCATTCTCTACCACCAATGATACCAGTATCCCTCCCATCACCCCTACCCCATCCCCCCACAGGCCACCCCGCCTCTGAGGCAGGGCATGTACGCTTTGCATGCAGGAGGCTTGGGTTTGATTCCCAGCACCCCACTGATCCCTTTAGAATTGCCAGGCGCACCTCCTGAATAACTGGAGTGACATTGGACACTAACAGGTGTGGAATGCAAACTGCCCACCTCACTCTGAAATGTAAAGAACCCTAATAATGAGTCAGTGTGCTCAGAGAGGGCTCTGAGAGTCGGCCTATGTCCTCGGCACAGTCCAGCAAGGTGGACTTTGCTGGAACCCTTCAAAGATCTGAACATTAAGGAGTGACGGCCAGTGATCTTCTCCCTCCCAGGGCAGGGAAAGTGCCAGCCAGTCTGAGATCCGGGCACCTGGGCTCCAGATCCCTGTGACAGACCGCAAGGAACCCACAATCTGATAAAGCTCATCCCCCTCACCCCCTAAAACAAGAGAACCACAGTGGATGGGAGGGGGCAGCAGGCGGAGCTGAGGAGTGACACCCCCCTCCCCCAGGCCCTCATTCAGTTCTGAGGGTGAGAGCAAAGATCCCATTTCCTGCATCCAAATCCTCACCTGAACCCACACGTCTTGTCTCCCCAAACAGTGGCCCATGTGGTGGGAGTCAAGTCCTGCCTCCTAGGCTGAATTAGGCATCCCTAATGACCTCCCCAGGAGGGTGGTGGCTGCTGTGTGAGTGAGGCCGACCTTGGCCTCCTGCCAGTACCTATTCCCACTCACTGCTCAGACCTGCCATGGGAGGAGCTATCCCTACTGCCCCCACACCCTGAGCTCCACCTGGGCCTCATCCTGGCCTTCAAGGACCCCCAGAGGAGCCGTCGGGCAGAGGCACAGATGGAGACTGAAAAGCCCCAACCACACAGTGGCGAGGCAAGACACCGAGAATAGCCAAAAATTAATAATAACAAAAATTGTAATAAATTTGTATTTATTACAATTGTAATAAAAATTGTAATAAAACACTACTTCCACTACCCAGCCATCGCCACACTCCAGGACACTTTCCGGACACATCATAAGACACTAAATACCCATCTTCCGGAATTGTAGTACCATATTTGATAGGGTTCAAATATGGTAACACCTACAAGGGTGATTAGAGGTCGCCCCAAAAGCCTCTATCCCTCTCGGAAAGACTGGCAAGCTATCGAGAGTATTCCGCCCGCACGGAAGAGCCTGGCAAGCTATCCGTTGTGTATTCAATATGCCAAAACCAGTAACTACAACTGGTCTCATTCACCTGACCCTGAAGGCTTCACCGACATGGCAGCACTGAGAAGGATGAGAAAAGAGAGGCCGACAAAATCTCAAGGCCGACCTAGGCTGCCACAACCAAGGAAGACAAAAATGATCGTCTGTACTTTCAATGCACGTACACTAGCATCAGATGCATCTCCAGTGTCAGGGAACAGGAGACTGCTGGGGAGTGTCACTTGGTCCCCCTGTGCCCCTGGTGGGCGCCCAGGGCTGATAGGCCTGGAATTGGGGGCCTCACTCCCTCGGGGTGGGATACCAGCCCCTGCCTCAGTGTTGATGTATACAGGGTCGGGGCTGCCCGGCTGTGGGGACACGCAGGATAGGCTGCCTTGGGGGGACGAGCACAGAGCCTCGCGCGGGGTTGGGCTCAGGGATCGGGGATCGGGATGCTCAGGGCCGACTCATGGATGGGGAATGTTTCAGAGAGTAGACACTCACGGGACTGTCTCTGACCAAGGGAATAAACCAGGGCCCCCAGCACAGCCACCAACACGATTCCTGAAACACAGAGGCCAATCCTGAGAGCTGAACGTGCGGGTGACGGTTCCCGGGGAGATCCTGGGGGAAGAGGAGGCAGGGGGTTAGGATAAAAGACTTTGGAGTCCCCCTGCCCGTACATATCGCTCCTCACTCCTATGGGCAGCCCCCACTGTGTGGTCCAGGGGGCGGGACCCAGGACTGACCAATCAGAGCGCTCCCCTCTGTGCGGATGCTGGGATTGGCCAGAGCCGCTGTCAGTGTTGAGTTCAGGGGACCTCAATTCTATCCTGAAGACAGCAGGGAGGGCGTTTGTCCTGCACACAACCTACCTGGGTTGGATCCCCGGCTCCACATATGGTTCCCTGAACATCACCAGGATAACTGAGCACAGCCAGGAATAAGTCCTGAGCAATCCCCAGAAATAAAAAAGAAAGATAAAAGAAGACGAGTTGCGTTCTTCTGAGTCCCACTAACTGGTGGGATGGGCACCTGGAATGCCCCTGTGCCCCTGATTACTGAGGGCAGAGTCAGCTTGACAACAGGGTCAGCACCAAGAACAGAATAAACAGAATAAGGCAAGTTCCTGCTTTACACCAACATGTGGGGCTCCCAGATTGAATCAAACCTGACAGAGATGTTTTCTCAGAACCCCAGCATTTTCAGCATCTGCAATGGTGAGAGCTCTGCCCCAGCCCCTGGAAAGGCCTTTCTGAGTGTCTGAGTAGAGGCCTTGGCAGGAGTCTGGGAGCATCTTATGGTTGAGGGGTCCTTCCCCAGGGACCCACCCATCCCTAATCAGAGACAGTCCTGCACGGCACCTCCTGGGGTGTCTCTGTGCTCCCCTCTGGTCCTCACCTGGGAGCTGGACTTTCATGGCTGCCTGTCCTGTCCCAGGTCATTGGAGACGCGGCAGATGAAGGTCGTGTTGATGGACTCCTCAGTGGGCTGGATCAGGAGCCAGGAGCCCTAGGGTACAGCAAAGGGGGGCAGGGGGCCTGTGGTCCTGGGGGACACAGGCAGGTGAGAACACGACCTCTGTTGGATCCCAGTGATGGAGACTAAGTAACCCCAGCTCCTCCCCCCTGTGTGACCCAAGTTGAAGGTACCTGGAATCCCACCCGACTCTCCCTCTCACTCCCCCATAAGTGCTCAGCAGGCCCTGAGACCCACCTTTATAATCCATCCAGAACCTTCCAGTCCTTGGGCCTGTGTGACCTCCACTCTCACCATGCCCCCAGGATCTTGCTTCCTGTCACCCCACAACACACACACTTGCTGGCCCGATGGAACTTACTGGAGCAGAGATATAGGACCTTCTTTGCTCATTACCCCTAGATTCTACTTCCCTCAGAGGAAAGTCCAGTCTTTAGATTGGGTCCCCTCCCTCTGACCCCATGGTGAGTTATTCCTCCTTTGCTCTGGATTCTGGGTCCTTGGGGTGGACCCCAGCTAATGATGCCCCTACCTGGTGCAGGTGATCTTTGACCTTCCATGACCCAGTGCTGAGTTGGGAGTGTGGGGGTGGGGCAGGATGGTGAGGGTGGGGCACAGAGCAGCCCTAGGAAGTGCTGGGATACCTGCCGCCGGCGTTGAGACCCCAGAAACTATGTGATCCAGACACTTTATTTTATTGAAAAATAATGTGATGGGGTGCTGGACCTGAATTCTGGATCTCACACACGTGGGTGCCTGTCACATCTCTAAGCTGAGTTTACCTTCCACAGGCAAGACAGTTTTATAGGGGTCAAAGTTGACTTATCCCTCTGGACTGCCCCCTTGTCCTTCTGTGCAGACCAGGGATCTGTCCCCAGCCCCTCCCCTCAGATCCAGAGTCCATCCCAGTTTCTTCCCTCAACCCCAGGCTCATGCTCCCAGCACCTGTTTACTCAGGTACATCCAGGTCAGGCCCTCTTCCCCTTCATCTTGGAGTCTGGGCACCCAGGCTCTGTCTCCCAATAATTGGGAATCCAGCCCAGCCTCCCCGCTTGCCCCAGATCAGCCCCAGGACTCACGTGTTCCAGTCATAACTCTTGGGCTCCGGGTTGCTGCGGGCGTCACAGGTCAGGCTGGTCTCCCTGTGGCCCTGCTGCCCGATGTTATCATAGAGAGAGATGGAGACCTGGGGGGCATCTGGGGAGGGGACAGGGTTGGGCTCAGGGACAGAAGCCCTGGGGGACCCATATTGACGTGGAGTAGAACCCCACCTTCCCTCCCCGTTTCAAACAGGCAACACCAGGGCCAGCTGAGTCTGGGTAACATGACATAATCCTGAG